ATTCAGTTTTCTAGTCAAGAAAAGAGTGAGGAGAGTTTGGGTGGTCTCTTGGACAAACACCCTCTTAGGAGAGTTCGGGTGGTCTCTTGGACAAATCACCCATTCAGTTTCCGTAATCGGGTCTGCAAGCAAGGGAAGGCGCAAGGGGAAGCAGGGCTTTCGCACCGTGGACCGACCCGTGACAGGATCCTACGTGCGGGACCATAACATATTCTTTCTCCCTATTATATTGCAGCTGTTTGGCATCGTTATCTTTTCCTGGAGCAACGGCACCACATCAGTGCCACATCGAAAAAATGGTGTTCCAGGAAATGGTCATTTGTTTGGAAACATTTTTCCATAAAAAACAGTGCTCCAAGCCACGTTTCAGAAATCGGGAAGCCATGGCTTGGAGCAATGCCAAATTTGGAGTTTCCTGGAGCTGCAGCTCGTTGCTGCCAACAGGGCAGTGATGTGGCACTGGATAATGGGTACTGGTGCTTAAAACATTTCCTGGAGCATTGGTACCAAACAGAAAAAGTTGCTGCTGCTCCAGGAAACGTCCTATCTGGCAGCAACGATTCCAAACAAAAATAAATGCTCCATTTTCTGAGAAAACGGTGCTTCCAACCACATCAGAAAATGATGCTGCAGTCGATGCCAAACATATACATTGTGATTGAAACTTGACTTTCTAGAATCATGTTTTAAAGGGTAAATGATTAAATTAATAAAACAAAAGAAACAAGTACAACAATGAAGAAAAAACATTTCACCCTTTTCCCTCAACAAATATTTACAAGAAGTTGAATACAAGGAGGACCTAGCTAGTAGGCACAAGTTTACATTGGAGGAATCTTTTTTGCTTATATTATTATTCACATTCCCTAATTGTAATTTGTAAGTGAAAATTCCAAAGTATCCAAATAAGTCATTTTCCACTTTTTTTACTTATAAGTTAAGTGTCATTGTGCCTAGATTCAAATTGCAAGCCAAGACGCTTTCATTCAATGACGACAGAATGGGGTTTCTCCCAATTCATTCCTCTAAATACATTCAACGACCCCTCTTGTGGATACCTAGTTGAGGACACTTGCTATTTTGGAACTGAAGTCTTCCTTTGCAAGGAAGATGATGCAATTTAAAGGGGAATGCCCTCCTGTGATTAGTGAACCATTGACTTATTCCCACACTTGGAAGGTGGAGAAATTTTCTGGGTTGAATCTTCAATATAATTTCTCTGAAGTGTTCACAGTTGGAAACCATAAATGGTAAGCCCTCCCTAGTTTTTAGCTAGTTAATTTTATGTCTCTAATATTTCAAGTTTTTTTCATATCAATTATCAATAAATATTCATTTTTTTTTGTGTGTGTGATATCAGGAAGGTGTTACTCTATCCAAATGGTAGTGCATCAATGCAACAGAGTCTTTCTTTATTCTTGACACATGCTGACAGAGCCATCCTTCACCCAGAACAGAAAGTTCAAATAGAGTTCATCTTACGAGTAAGGGACCAACTTGGTGGCAAACACATTGAACGTAAAGGTGCTCTCTCTCTCTCTCTAGATCTCTTCTTTTGTGAAGGTGGTTTCATTATAGAAATGGTAATAAAAGCTGATAAGCCAGACAATGCAGCATGCAATTTAGCTGTTTTGCTAGTTTTTGCCAGAGAAAACATATTGTGTGATCCAAACACCTCGAAGATTTTGTTCAACTTCTGAAGCTTGTGCTGGCATTCCTTTTGTAGATACTCATGGGTTCAATATAAAGGAAGCAAGTTGGGGATGGTCTGGCTTTATGCCACTCAGTGTTCTCAAGGACCAATCAAGGGGCTTCTTGGTGAATGACGCAAGCATCATTGAAGCACAAATAAATTTTCTTGGAGTTGTCAATGATTCATCCAAAGATCAAGTAATATAAATTAGGTTTTCTTATCTGACATTTGACATTTTTTTTCCATTTCCCTACTTGGACCAAGTTGGATTGAGAGACCTATTCAATAAGATCCTTTGTTTTCTTTTGGCGTTTCGTTTATTCTTSTGCTTTTAGGCAGTTTTATGTTACTTCGATTAATTTGTGTGAAGCTATGATCTTTCTTTCACTGAAGAAATTTCCTATTTACCATAACAATATATAACAAATTAAACAATCTTTTAGCATGTAAAAGTTTGGCTCCAAAATCAGCAGCTCTACTACAGAAAAGATCCATCGAAGTAGTGAGGCAAATTCTGGACAGGCTCACAGCCCTACTATTCCTTTTTTATTTGTTTATGTGTGTGAATTTCGACTAGGTGGTTTAGTTGAGATCAATCCAGATTTGTTGGTTATTACCTATCAACTAATGCCCCGATTCCATTGCTGAAATTACCACTAGACCTGTTCATGGGTCGGGCTTGGACTTGGCTTTTGCCAAACTTTGAATGAGCCCAGTCTGAAATCCAAACCCGACTCCGACATAATGTAAGTCAGGCCTGAAGCCCCATGACCAAGTACCTCAAAATCATTTCCTTTCTTTTTCACTCTTTTCATCTCTCGGGTCATTTAAAGGTTGTCAGTGGGTCGGGTTTGCCCAAAATAACCGAACTGACCAACTGATCATGTCACTTCTGGTTTTATGGTTTTGYCCCAATTAATAATTGGTTGGGTTGGGACCAGTTACGTTCTTGCAGTTTCAAACCAATTCAGACCTGAAACATTTATATAGTCAATATCTCTTTTCTTTTTCTTTTTTTATATTTTGTCTTAAAGAGGAAATTTCATAATAGTATATTATGATTGAAAACATAAATTAGTGTTTAATTTCAATTTTATTACAGTTATATTATCAAAATGAACTTCTAAATTACAATTGGGTCCGGATTTTCCTAATTAATAATTGGTCTGGTTTTGGGTCCATTTTATTCTCCCCATTAATAATGAGAATGGGACTGCTGGTACACCTTGTACAAAACTAGACTCAAATTTAATCCTTGGTTTTGAATTAGATTTAGATTCAAATTTAATTATTAAGATATTAAATTCGATTTAATTTTTAACTTTACCAACAAGCTAATTGGCACCTATCAATCTAATTTTAGGTAGTCAATAACCAGTTGAACTTCAAAGGTAGAATTTCGTTTCAATTGATTATTACTTTTATGAACCCCAGTAAGACCCAATTATCAATTGGAGTTCGATCTTATTTATGTTGAATGACTGTATGATTTGGTAACAAATCTTGTTGTTGCTGTGAAGGAGGCTGGTACACCTTGATGAAGGTGAATAATTTAATTTGTGTTGAGGCTTGAAGTATTAAGTGCCCATTTGAGAGGGCTGGAGTACAGCAGCTTCTGGCTTTCCAAGGTGGGCTTTACACCAACGGCTTTTAACCTATATTTGATGAAAAATCCAGAGAGACCAAATGGACTGTCAGCAGGGTGCAATTTGAGCGTGCCCAGCCCGAGCCCGAATCGGGCCAACCTGGAATTTTACACGGGCTGGGCTTAGGCCCAAGAAGTTGATTTTTTTTTTTTTTCAGGCTTGGCTTGGGTCTAGTTCTTACTGAGCCTGGTCCAATTATATATATATATATATATATATAATTTTAGAATGGATTCATTGACCAACCTGAGCCCAACCCAAATGCATCAAATTACAGGGCGGGCTGGACTCCGGTTGGAAAAATCGGACTCGAGCCTTAAGTCCAAATTTTAGGGCCGGGCCTGGGTCGACCATAAACCCGGCCCAACCAACTCGAAAGCCTATGCTTCATCATTCCACAAACAAATAGGCTGTGACTTGTGAGTTACTAAAACGCACATGCGGCATTTTTAAATTTGAAATCTTTTCTCCAATCTACTTTCGGTATCTATTTTGATTTCATTTTACTAGTGGTGTTTCTATTCTGATAGATTCAAAAAATGCTCATTTCTGTTCATTTTAGAGTGAGAAAAAACAATATCTTCGCCTTGCAGCCAAAAAAAAATCTTTGGCATAAAAGGAAGGAAATTATAGTTAAATATATCAGTGAGGAATTGTTCTATACCTTTCTCAATCAAATCAAATGTATTTACAAGGGGGTTCGATTATGATACCAGCAAGACATCATATCCGAAAAATTTATGATCAATATCATAAATATGTTAATCAATTAGATATTATTTATCAAAACTCACAAATGGGCTTTAATTGATCAAAACTATTTCGGTACCATGTCTTTCCGGCATTAAAGATTTTCCCCTTTGCGAACTGAAAGACAAAACCCAGCAATATCTTTTCTTAGTACATGTGAATATGTGATGGGGACCCATCGTGTGGGTGTTATTCATTAGATCTATTTAGTGGGTTAGTGATGGCAGGGTACACGTGCAGTACACTGATATTCATTATACAGAGAGCCTGACCTTAGCTCTTAGGTAGTTTTGGATTTCAGATTAGCACCCCACAAAGTGTACCCTATTAACGTCCCACATGTACATCTCAACGTGCATTGAAAATATATTCCGTATTTAATATGAAGAGATGTGAATTCCGTTTGAATCCATGTGAATTCCGTGCATGAATGGGACACAGTATATGCCCTAAATTCCAAATACAAGGCAATGTTGTACTGAAATGCTCACTGGGTCATGGTTTTACCAGTTCATTGGACAATTAGCTGGTTTAAACTGTCGAAACCGTTGTTTAATCAGAACCCAGAAAGGCCACCGGGTCATTGGTTCAACTGTTCGGTTCAGTCCAGAATATTACAACACTGGTAAAAGGTGATTGGAAGAGGTGAGACCTGTATGGAAGGAATATGAACACACACCAACCAACCTGCCATTAAATTAGATTCCCTATAGATAAACATTCTCATTGAACAAATGTTATATAATTGACATTTTCAGATGGGCACAAATCACAGACCTTAGGCCTTTAACCTTTTTATCTTTGAACCCTGTAGTGTACAAGCAGTCTCACATCTCATCACCTACCCAATTCCACATCCTCTGTCTGTTTGGGAGGACTTTTGGCTTTATGAGGCGGGATTCACCTAAAAAWGCCTATAATCAACGTGGGGTAAAAAAAATCTAGAGAACCAAATTTAGTTGTCATACAGAGGGGGTGTTTTGTACTGTGTACTGCTTGATTCTGAAACACATCACACTCATTAGGTGTTCTTTTTAGAGTATGGTATGTTTTAAAACCATCTGTGGTTGGTCTTGAAACACAAAATATCGAAATTTCTCATTTATACCAAAATCTCATGGATTGGTCCATACCACCCTAAATTGGATGATCACCTTATGGAGTGTGGTGTAATTCAAACCATGTGGTTTCAACTACATCATAATGAGGCGTAGTAGATCAAAACGCACCATACCTTATAGAGACCATACTACCAAACACTCCCTTCAATGGCTATCCATATACGCCTCATCTAATAGCTTCTTCAAAATTGTTCAAAATGTTCCAACATCCATACCCACGGAACCCCACCGCCGTGTATCGAGAACATCTCCATATAAATAAAAAGTGRTATTCTTAATGCGCAACTGTAATGTCTTGTGCGTAAGAGATATGGGAACAATTTATGAGTAGCAGATCTGAACCCATTGGGCTTTTGCTCGCAATGGCCACCCTAGACACCACATGGCCCCTGGCCATGATGAGATTAGACCCTTGGAGGTCACATTAAAGGATGTTTTATTCATTATTGGGCAGCCTGGTGTGGTATGGCCTTGACAAAAGCCATGAGTGACCACTGACCACGGCCCACATGAGGGTCTGGGATGGCTGGCTCCATCTTTATCAAAATAAAGTGACAAGAGGTGGCCCGGGACTCTGGGTGCAAACCTACATGTCCCTGATGAAGGAATTGCTGCTGGTGCTGGGACTTCTGAAATCTCTCAACGATTCCTTATATCCTTTATCAACCAAAAGCAAAAGCAGGATTTCCCTTTATCAATGTCTCACTCGGCCACACTTTTGAAGCACTGAAATAGGCCTGGGCCTGGGCCACAGAAGAGTTGTTACTCTCCAATGAAATTTTATTATTGGTATGATTTTTACAAGCAAAGCCTCCTGGCGCTGGTGGGCTTCTCTTAGGAAATTCAGAAAACACAGCTTCCATCTGAACTATTTACATTTTACAAAGGAGAATAATTTCCTTGTTTGAGAAATACATTATGTACAAATTGTAAACGTCTCCAATTCGCCTTGATATGTCGAATGGACGCTCCAGATGTTGTCAATATGGGTGGGGTCAGCTAGATGTAGGGATTGATGTGGGAGGAGTAGTCACGAATCCCTGCACCCTCCCATCCCATCCACTCCTCCCACTGGTCCCAATCAGAATCGCACATTCCCCTCATCGGCTCCTCCACGTTGTCATATTCGTATGATGACACATAGCCGTCCGCCGAATCAGCTTCTCCCCTCAAATTGCTCATCACAATCTAAACACACAAGCATACAACTACATCAATCAATGGCCACTTCATTCTAAGCCGCATTATCCGAATAGGTGAGGATCATCAACGGTTCGTATCTGTTAATCTAAAACCGGATCAGAGAGAGAAAGGGAGATGATTACGTACATCATAGGCTTCGTTAATCCGGTGAAACTGGACCCCACAGTTGCTTCCTTTGCACACGTCTGGATGATACTGAAGAAAGTTGCAAAAGTAATACAAAATCAAGAAAATTTCAAAAAGAAAAAACGATTTTTCATTAAAATTCCCAGAAGCAGCAGAATCAATCAAAAATTCAAAATCACTCCCCAGACTCAACCCAGAAAAAAGAAAACTTTCTCAGGAACCCAGAAACTCATTCGATCAAGTCTCCGAAGAACCTTCTCAAAATCAATGAAGAAGGGCGAACCTGCAAAGCAAGCTTTCTGAAAGCTTTCTTGACCTCCAACTCAGAAGCCCCAGGCTGGATTCTGAGAGTTCTGTACTGCTCCGTCAAGCTTGCCGACACAACAGAGGAAGAACGACAGACCCTCCTCTTTGTCTTCCCGACGCAACCGCTTTGAATCCACGACGAGGACCCACAACCCACCAACCCAGCACCAGCAATAGCCATAGCCAACAAGAAACGAAATCGAATCAGATCACCAAACCCACCCACCAAACAAACACTCTGAAATCTCAATCCCTCCTCTCCAACTCGCTCTCTCAGATATGAAAAGCAACCGTAGAAGGAAGAAGCTCCGAATAAATAATGAGTCGATCAAACGATACGCAAAGGCAAATGGGTCCCTCCACGGATTCCTTCGCTTTGATTTGGATTGATTGAGTCGCGCGGTCGCGCTTTGTTTGATTTCAACGCTTCAGATAAGAAGATTGCTTGCTTTCACAGGTCATCTATATCTCTCTCTGGGTCTGACGGCCGGGGAAAGCGAAAGCTAGGGTTGGGAGGGAGAGGATGGGAGTTGCTTTACCCAAACGGCTCCGTCTCGAGATCTTTATTCTACATTTCCACCTTCTGTAAATTTTTCTGTGCATGGATCCGACACGTGGGTCGTATATATCGGTAGACGATACCGGTTTTCCGGTATTCTTTTATTTTCTTTCATGTTTTTCGGGTTAAAATATGGATAAGGTCGTTAGCTGGATAATTGGATTGGGTGAAAGACGTTGGGAACTTGGGATAATACATTTCAAGGAGTTGATAAGTGGGTTCGGACCCAGAGTGGTGGACCCGGACCCTGTGGAGTTTGAGAACTAGATATAATGTTAATGTACCCTTTGAAACTATACTAGATAATTTGACCTGTTAAATGGAATTTGCAGATTAGAGGTATGATCGATTCAAGACCGTTTGAATTCGGTTTTTCAAGATAGATATCAGGAGAGAAGTTGGTGGATGTCTATTTCCGTAAAAATGTCTGAGATGGAAGGAGTTGTGGTTGGGCAAATTGATTGAATTGGGCCATGTTCCGTTCCGGAGTGCTTAAAAATTAGTGTTTATTTGAGCAATTAAGCATTTAATGATATTTGGAAAATAAAYTCTAAATAAGTGTTTATTTTAAAAATAAGAGTTTATTTTTTAAGCTCAAATTTTCAGTTTATATAATAAGTACTTATTCAATTTTTTTTCTTCCAAAATTATTCTTATTTGAATTCTAAAATACTGCTTATAAAATTATCCCTGATCGAATTTTATAAAAAGTGTTTTTAGTACTCTCATAAAAGTATTTTCATAAGGGTACATTTTGAAAWTTTGAAAAAAAATAAAGGACAAAATAGTCACAAATACTTATTTAAGTGCTTATTGAAGGAAAAGACTATCAAATGCCCAATATGAAATTAGTACTTATTTATTAAAATAAGCACTTAAAAAAATTGAATACTAAATACAAATAAATGTTTATTTGAATAAGCACTTATTCAATAAACATTTATTTTTAACTTAAACATTATCAGTGTGTGCGATAATTTAAGTTGTAATTTCTCCTTTGTTAAAAGGGAAAAGAGGAAGGGAACATGCCGGGTCATAGATTAGCTAGGAAAGGTTTGTTTACAGAAGGCATGCCCCGTTGGATGGCTAATTGGCTGGACTCTCAGCCTTCGATCTAAATGTACTTCTTTTCTATCTCAGTTCAGTTCAATGAAGCTTAATCCTATGCTACCAAAAAAATAAAATAAATGTTGCCCAACACACACTCAGCCATTTTGTCTAAAAATCAAGAATATATAGGTAAAGAATTGAAAGCGATATTTGAATATTGCCGAACTCCTAAAACACCTACCATGTAACGCAATGGATGCAATCAAATTCGTCCAACTGTTAAGGAAGATGACATTGAAGTGAACATGGTGGAGGTGGTTACCTCTATTAGAAATAATATCAAATTAAAGTGTGTCGAAGAAAGTGGAATGGGTTAAGGAAGAAAATTTGGCACAAGTCAATACGGGCATTCAATTATGTACAACCTTATTTTTCCTTGTATATACTTTATTTATTCTTTCATTTCTTTTTGTTTGTAAAGATCTTCAAGACATGCATCTCCTTGTAATATATATATTAGTAGGGGGGGCCTGCGTTGCAAAGGTCATTCATAAATTATCAGGCTCGAGCTCGACTAAAGTCAAAAGTTTGGGAATTCRAGTTCGGTTACTTTTAATTGCAAGTCTCTTAAGCAATCGAGGTATCGAACCGAGGTCTCCCTCAATAGTTGAGGTGCCAAATCGAGGTCTCCTTCAACTGCTGAAGTGTCAAGTTGCGGTTTCCCTAGCAGGCAAGGTATCGAGCTAAGGTCTCTCTTAGTTGACAAGGTGCCAAGCTGAGGTCTCCCTTAGTTGTTGAGGTGCTGAGCCAAGATCTCCCTCAGTGACCGAGGTGCCAAGCCAAAGTCTCCTTTAGCTGTTGAAGTGTTGAGCTGAGGTTTCCCTATCAGGCGAGGTGTCGAGCTAAGGTCTCCCTTAGTTGACAAGGTGTCGAGTTGAGGTCTCCCTCAATTGTCGGGGTGCTAAGCCGAGATTCTCCCTCAGTGGTCGAGGTGTCGTCTAGCTCGAGCTCGATTAGAATTAGAGACTTGAGCTTGAGCTTGGCTTGGCTTGAACTCAACTACCTATGATTGTAGGTCCCCTAGTAGTCGGGATGTCGAGCTGAGGTCTCCCTCAGTTGGAGAGAGTGACATTCTTGTAATTTATAAGGAGAGAGAGAAAAAGAATTGGTAGGAGAGAGAGTGGCATTCTTGTAATTTGATAGAAAAAATAAGAGAGAGAGTTTAACCCCCGTATAAAACCCCATACAAAACAAAAAAACAAAGAAGATATTCTTTCTCATGCACATCAATAATATCTACTACTTTATAAAAATATGTTGAATTACAGAACACATAGGGATGCAAAGACGAAGAAAACCAACAAACGCCATAATGAAGTCATGAATAAAGAAGGTAAAATATGAGGAATTGAAAGGCTAAATTATTCTATGCAAGAAAATCAAATTGTTATTATGAAGAAGAGATTTATTTTATTTTATTTTTTGGTAAAGAGAAGAAAAGAAAGTTAAACCATAAATTTGATAACTGAAAAGAACTAAATACTTCTAYCAAGACAGGAAAAAAATGAAAGGATCGAAAAGAACTAAATTAAATACCGGACATCCTATTCAGATGAAACAAAGATATTTAATATTAATTCTGAAAACTTTAAAAAGATAAAAATTAGGTGGCATACCCATAAGAGAATGTGGTGAGAGATGGGAAGGGCAACACACAGATGTAGGAACTCAGAAAGAAAACTACGGAGAAAGGAGAAATTTTGGTATATGGCGGATGAGCTTGGTAGAAAGGATAAGCAACAAATAAAAAAAAAAAATCATGAGGGAAGTTGCTTTCAATAGCATGGAGGGCATATTTTGAAGTGGACTGAGATAAGCATCGGATAGCTCATGTTGATTATTAGTAAAGAAAAGTACAAAATAAGAATATAATAAGACAAAGAAGTACCTACATGCAAGCATCAGCAAGCACTGTTTTCAAAACCGGACTGGACCAGAAAAACCGGGAATTGATCACCTGACTGGTTCCGTTTTTCTCTAAAATCAATTTTCTTCTAAAATCGTTGATTTTGGGCAGTAAATCGTTGAACCGGCCGGTTAATCATTCAAACGGTTTTGACTGTTTTTTAATTTTTAATTTTTCTTTATTTTTTTATTAAAACAGGCCGGTCATTTAGGTCAAACAGTCGAACCATTCAAACCTAACCGAACCCCTGACCGATTCGGTCACCAGTTGGTTTTTAAAAACCATGTTAACAAGTGAGAAATTTTTCTTTGGAAAAATCCAAAAGAAAAATGGAAGGAAACGCCACGTAATTAGCTTAGCCAAGTAGCTAACAGCCCCAAGGAACCGTCTCTTTTATTATCTCTTTCTCCATATCCAAATCCGACTTATATAGGAATTTGGATTGGATGGAGCAACATCCGATTCATGGACCACCTTATGCATGGTGGGTTTAGCACAATTATTGAGAATTTCCATGAAAGTTGTAAGGATCAAAGCTGAATGTTTAATTTTCTTATGTTTATACTTTATAGAGAGGCTGACATGATGGAGAACTGATTAACCAATTAGGGTCACTCTATTCATATTACCCCTGGTTTGTTTAGCCTATTTCTTCTCTTTTACCCCACCCACACCCCTCAAAAAAAATCCAAGATTAAATTTTAGTAAATAGAACATAATGATAAAACAAAATTCAAATAACCAATCTCATAAAATTGGAATAAGGCTTRGATGATGATAAAGTTTTGTGACAACCCCTATATTTTGAATTTAATCAATTCATGCCAAAAGTAATGAAACTGCAGAGGGGGACGACTGTACTGAACTCTAAATTTCCCAAAACAAAACATGTATCAATAGAGTTAGCATTCTTTTGCTTTTGGCTGCATAAATTTGTTCCAACTTAGAATGGCGAAAACTGAAAAACATAGCAAGAATTACTAAAATTCTCTTGAACCAAAAATTTTCCACCCCTTTTTATATATAGAATCAAAATGGAGTTAAGATGTAACTCTATGAATAATGCCACTATCAGATAGTGAGAAAAATCATTTCATCTTTTTTGAGTTTTGAAATATGGACAGGTGGCAAGTTATGGAACCCTATAAAGTATAAACAGTTCTCTGTCCTCCACCCAACATAAAAAAATTGACCCTCATAATTGTGGGATAGACCATATGATCCACGTATAATATTCCCTTAACCACCAAGCGGGGCCCGTTGAATTATTTTGCCCTAATCTTCAAGGCGGGGCCCATGCAAGGATAAAGCCCTAGTATGTGTATCTCCACTAATGCGCTTATTACCTACTCGGCTACTCTTTTAATTGGACTTTAGCGAGGTACACATGTCGTACGTGTCCGTTGATGTTGTTGTATTATTTAATTTCATTGCGTTCAGATTGAACTGACCAGACCACGACGATATTTTCAACAGATTTTTTTTCTTCTAAAATATTTAAAATCAATAAATAAAAAGTTGACCCAAGAAAATATAAGAGAAGAAGTCACACGTAGGAACTAAAGAATCTTCCACGTGGCAAATTGTATGGCGGGACAGAATGACTGAGTAGTGAATGAGTTGAGCGGGCAAATTGGAACGACTCGGTCCAGTTTGGACTCTGGACCCAAACCTATCCATTCAAAAGCTAGGGGTGCGTTGGACTTGAGCACGGTTTTGGACCAGGCCGAGTTGATTTTGACCAACCGGGGAAATTTCAWATCCATCGTTAGGTTGGAGTTGGAAAATAGTTCCATTCGGCTCCTTTAAAGAAATTTCAAGGTCGTAGTTTCAAATTAGAAGTCTCATAGAAATGTAGGATAAGAATCTAAAGAGAGAAAGAGAGATCAAGACCAGTAGATGATATGGGACCCAATGAACTCACCACCTGCAATATGTTTGAAAGATCAGGACTCAGCATTAGGTGGGCCCAATAGGGTAGA